CACCGCTCTTCTCGGTTGTTCTTGGCCTACCGTGGTTAAGGCTCCATAAACCAACTCTATCCTGGTCAGGGACAGGGATACAGCTAGAATCGGAATACTGCAGAAAGACATGCTACCCAGTGACCCCTGTACTACTCCTTGCCCCAGAAGACGCTCCTAACCACTACAGGGAATTCTCTGATGTATTTAGTGAACAACTTGCGCAGACTTTACCACCACACCGAGTGTATGACTGCCCCATAGAACTAATTCCCAATAGACCATGGGAAGTAATCTCTGTTGATTTCATAGTAGAGCTACCTACGTCAGATAGCCACACGACAATCATGGTCACCATGGACCTACTTACCAAGATGGCCCACTCCATCCCTTTGAAAAGATTACCCTCTGCGAAAGAGACCGCCCAACACTTCATCTCCAACATACACCGCTTACACGGAGTACCTACAAGTATTATATCCGACCGCGGCAGCCAATTTGTCTTGAAATGTTGGAAAGCCCTCTGCACCGCTCTCCAGATAGACCACAGAATGTCAAGTGCCTATCAGCCGCAGACGAATGGGCAAACCGAAAGAGTCAATCAGGCCTTAGAACAATACCTGAGATGTTATTGTACCCACCTGCAGGATGACTGGTTCTCGCTGTTACCCCTTGCTGAATTCGCGTACAATAACTCCACCAGTGCTTCTACTCTCCATTCACCGTTCTTCGCTAACTATGGGTTCCACCCTACGCAAATACCCACTTCATTAATACCCACCAACGTGCCTTCTTCAACACAGTATCTGTCCATACTACAGCATACTACAGAAATCCTAAAGGAAAACCTGAAGGCTGCTCATGAGCGCCAGAAACACTACTATGACCTCAGACGCCGGGAACCTCCTAGTTACCAGATAGGCCAGAAGGTGTGGCTCTCCACGAAAAACATTCGCCTTAAGATACCCCCAAGGAAATTAGGGGAACAATTCATTGGACCGTTTCCCATTGAAAGGGTGATAAACCCTAACACCGTTAGACTCGTTCTCCCAACAGAGTACAGGATTCATCCATCCTTTCATGTGTCTCTCCTCAAGCCCTACAGGCCTGACCCTTTCCCTAACAGGGTATCCTCCCCGGCTCCCCCGATTGAGGTCCAGGGTGAGACTGAGTATGAGGTTGCTAACATTCTCGACTCCCGAAGGAAGGGGAGTACTCTCCAATACCTCATACGTTGGAAGGGGTATGGGCCGCAGGAGGATTCATGGGAGGATGATGGGGACGTCCATGCTCCCCGGCTAAAGAAAGGCTTCCACAGCAGATACCCTCAAAGACCTTCTTCAGTTCGGAACCCCAGGGGTGTTCCCTTAAGGAGGGGGTACTGTAAGGAGTTCCGGGGACGTCGGGTGGTGAGAGTGCGTTCCACAGTGGAACGCACCAGGAAGAGGTTTGCCGCAGTCACGCCCCCTCACTGAGACGTCGGCCGAAGCGTTCCACCCTGGAACACGGAAGAGGCGAGATGCCGCTCCTTGGTTTCCCGCGTCTACGGGCTATTTAAACTCAGTCGCCGAGTTAGTAGGGCGTTCCAATATTGCGGATCGAACGCCCTGCTAACCTTGTACCCGAACCTGCATTCCGGGGGTTGCCTCGACCCCATCCTACCCCTGGACCTTATCCTACCCGTGGAGACCAGCTTACCTCAGGACCTGTCCACACCTGGACATCATCCTTCACCCGGACACCTGTCTACCCCAGGACATCGCCACACCACGCCAGCCTGCAGTCAGGATTCCCACCAGTGCCTTCTTACCGGCAAAACCGCAAGTACTCTGCAGTCATCCCTGCAGTCCTCTAGTGACGTGTCCCCATATGGGAGAGACTGTATCGAGGTACTATAGATTTCAAACGCTGTGCATTCTGCTCCTTGCTTGTACCTGGGACTAGGGAGGTTGTAGGAACTAATAACGGACTACCTCATATTATCATTTACGCTAACGCTACATAATCAGTTATCCTTCAGTTACATTATTTCATGCCTCATTCACAGAGTGGTCTATGACGTAATAGCCACTACTGTGACGCATATCTTAATGAACGGCCTATGATGCGAGGACCTCTAACTCACCGTTAGTTGTGAGAGATGCCAGAGGTCCAAGACTGAATTGCCATTCCACCTCATAACCTAAGTTAGATCCTCCTAACTCCGCCGCTGAGATCCTGAAAACATAACCCCAGCTAAGCGGGCGTTACAAAGAGACGTACAGTGAAATAAACAAACACATAGTTCTAGAGGTACAGACAAACCAGGTATATCAGTAGCATAAGCAGGTACTTTGTACCAGTAGTGTTGAATAATTGGGCATAACCACCATATATCAGCTAGTGTGCCAATAGAACCACAATTTCTCCAGCAATCTTTGGGGTAATCCCTAAAGAATCTCCCCAACAATGCTAGTCCCTAAAGAATCTCCCCAGCAATGTTAGCAATCTTGTTAACAATTTACGGTTATTCTCTTCCACTTTTGAGCTCATTGAAGAGGAATAACAAAGTTGCATTAACTTATTTTGTTGATCTTCTAATTAGGAACTGCCAAGATCTTGTTCCCATTGTGATATAAATCAGGGGTATTCTGCAGAAGGTAAATCTAGCAGGGCTTTATAAAATCGAGATATTGTATGCCTCGATGTAGATAAACTATGTAACACTTGTTCCATTTGATTTGATTCTGTTAATGTTGTAAGAGGTGTTGGTAAAGAGTTAACATAATGAGAAAGTTGTCTATAGCACCAGACATCCCAATTGTAGGGTCCATCTTTCCCTTATTTCCTTCCCCTAGTGGCATGATCTTACGGTTCTTAATAATATGATGAAGTTGTAGGTCCTACTTTTTGGACCATCTTAAAAACCTTTCATCTTGCTTACCAGGAGGAAAGTAGTTATGATCTAATAAACGTAGTAAGGGCGGGTTATATGGCCACCCGTACTGATGGTGTATTGAATCTCATATTTTCAGAGTAGCCAGAGTAAGAGAAGACGTCTCCCTGGAAGGAGATCTATAATTCCTTAGGATCCATAATGCTGCTAACAATCTAACCTTGCTCAGATGTTCCTCTACAGCAATCCGTTTTTTATCAGAAGCATGAAATGCCCAATCAGCTACATGGAAAAGCGAGACCCCTGTATAATATTTTGGAAAATCTGTGGGACCTAATCTGCCTTTCCGTTTAGGGCGAAAGAGTGTCTTATGCGAAATTCTAGCGTGACCCGTACTCCGAATACATTTGTTAACTCTGGACTGTACTAAAGATAAATATTTCTTGGCAATCGACAAAGGCAGTGTCTGAAATAAAAACAAGATGGTAGACAAGATGTTCATTTTGACCATATTTATCCTAACCAGCCAAGAAACTGTACTGTATCTGCTCCATTATTTTATTATTAGCACTCACATCTCTTAGGATTTCTGAACAAACTGAATTTGACATGTAAAGGCTCAAAAAATGTGTTTAGTTTCGGATCGGTTTCAATTTATTTATTTTTTTGGATATCGGGTCTGAAATACGATTCGATTTGTTACTCGGAATTCGGTTTGATTTAAATTTTTCATGTTCAGTTCGGGTCAATTCGGATGGGGTTCTTTAATTTTTTGGGGGGAGTTGGTTATTCTAGTTCTGTAATGGTCATATTAGTCCATACAAGTCCTCTTAGCCTGTACTGGTCACCTTAGTCCATAGTAATAATCTTATCCCGTACTGTACTGGTCATTCTATTCCATACTGGTCATCTTATTCCGTACTGGTCATTTTAGTCTATATTGGGCATCTTTGTCCGTACTGGTAATTACAGCACAGTGATGATGTCCAGACAGGTAAGCCGGCAAAAAAATAGTTTTGTTTTGTTTCTTATTTTTCGTTTTTCAAGATTCGGGTCCAAAAGTGAATTCCTTTCGAGATTCCGCCCCCCCCTCGGGAATGAGTAAGGAGTAGTTATACTCATTCATCAAATACAATAAAAGAGTAAATAAATGTACCACACCATAAAAAAATCATTTATTTGAAATAAAAAAACACAACACAGGTCTTTTTATAAAAGGGGAGAAACAAGTCCCATGATGTCACTACTGGCTCCGCCCCTTTGTTGACATTCCGGTCAGAGCTGTCATTTTGCGGGCAATGTTTGTCGGGATCGGTCGGGTCGGCAGACGTAGGGTATTTTTTCTTTCGGGGAGTTGGTGATCATCGTCCATTGTGATTGACGTGAATCTACATCGCTGGGCAAAGTGATTAACCTTGGGATAAAGGGGGCACCCAGATTCAGATAAATCCCCTTTCCTGCTCTGCCAGGCTGCTTCTCAGATCAAGGATCTTGTAAGGTATTTTAGGGGGGAACCCATGCTATTTTTTGTTTTGTTTTGTTGGTGTTGGGGCTTCCCCTAAAATTCCTACCAAACGAATCGCACATGTCTAATGATGTCACTGCTACGTTTTTATTCCAATATCTGTGTTCCCAAAGGCATTTGGTGCACACAAGGTGGATTATATCCTCTGTGGCTATTGAGGAGTATATGTAAATTAAAGTTTTTGAACCCAGAGTACAGCTTTAAACTGAACACACCCGGATAGGAATCTTATTGAAACTGCCAATGCAGACTTGGTTTTGGATGTGCAAGCTCTGGTACAGTCATCCGTATCCTTGCCATCATTAACACAATGCTTAGGTTAAATATCTAACACCTTGGACTGTCTCCAGAAATCAGGAACTCTAGGAAACTGTGAAGCATACAACATCAATGTCATGTCAGAGAAGGCAGAAGGTTAATAGTGGCTGAAACATTAAATAACCTTTGAAGACGCCCCCCCCGACGGAACCCACTGCTAACCACACGGCAAGTCATACAGGTGGGGCGTATTATCATCATCCTCTCCCTGCTAACGTCACTGTAATTGTGAAATACTACAGCTGCTTATTTAAATGGAGCAAGTTCCATAAACTCCCTAAACTCACAGTAGGCAGAAAAAAAAGGGAGATTGTGCTTTAAAAGATCTGGTGACCAGATGTTTCGCACAGGCTGAGTTAGATGAGAGAGTTGTTCCTTTGGAAGAAATCCCTCTTAAATTGCTGAAACATGAAAAAAATGATATTCTTCGTTCTGTTCGCTCTGCACTTGGACAGAACCTTCGGATGGGGATTCAGGAACGGCATACTGCACAATTCCATCTGGTTAGGTAAGTCCTGTTCTGAAATATTATTGACATGGATAGAAAGTCACCTCTGGGGGTAAAGGGACCTGTGGACCTCCAGGTGCTGTGGAACTACAAGTTCCAGCAAAAGACTTGTTCTATGTATCATAGAGCAGGAGACAGGTAGACTCTTATTCAGCAGCTAGCTATATGATGATACATTGGAAAACTGCCCTTTCTTGAATTGAATGCCAAGCATCTATAGCGAAAGAAAATTCTACTTCATCCTTAATTGATTCCCTTGCCAAACAGAATTTCATGTTAAGCTGGAAGTATCCAAAATTTTCGGCATCTCAACAGAACTTTACAATTTCTTATAATCCTGATTTTTAGGGTTTTTTTTGTAATTGTTCCTTAATCCAGAAAAACAAATGCATTGCTGCTAAGTGCTTGTGGGCAGTTTATATCTGCTCTCTCAACCAGGGATCCATGGAAATCTAGGGATACTTTTCGACTGTCCATCAATGTGAGCATGCATTTTTCCATCGACGAGTGTAAGGGAACACTACAATTTTCCCAGTGTGTGTTTCTTTTCTGGTCATTATTATTTCTCTAATTTAATTATAATTGCTGTATAGAGCGGGGGAGTGTTGTAAAATAATCCAATGTGGGTGTCAAATACTCCAGTTATGCCTTTTTCTTTATTCTTCTAGTTGAGAAAGGCTGATTTACATGGTTCATGAGCTGGATATTCACAGCTGTTTTTAAAATGTGATTTACTATTATATATGCTACATTCAGCAATAAATACTCCTTTTGCATCACTTATGCAACTGTAATTCACAAGAAGTACAGGACATGCTAGAACATGTAGTACCACCAGGTAGAGGGGAAAATCTTTAAAAACTGCACTGACGTTTTAAATCATTCTATCAGTTAATTTTTTTGCTGATTCTCTTTTTTTCTACATGTTACTTTCTTCATAGCAGTCAGGATCTGATGCTTTGATCTGAATTACAGGTTAGGACACTTTTCTGGGAACGAAATGTATACGGTAGTTAAAAAAAACAACCTACTGTACAATTTTCTTTTTCGTGTTTTATTTGTCTCCTCTTTCTGGAATTCCGATTGCTTAGTCATCACCGCTGTATATTATTAGTCTTTTTTAAAGTTTTCTGCTAACCTGAGGTGTTTTGTACCACACTTTGTAGGGCTCATTTAAAGCTGAACTCCAGCTTTAAAAATGTACAGTATATATACACAGTCATGTGAAAGAGAAAGCACACCCTCTTTAAATTCTATGGTTTTATGTATCAAGACATAATAAAAAAACATCTGGTCCTTAGCAGGTCTTAGAATTAGGCAAATACTCATTGAATATTTGGCATTCTCTAAATGGATGAGGGGCGGTGACGTTATTAGCATGGTGCATTGTGTCGTAGTGCGTTGCAGCACTATATACAGTAATATATATATACTGTATATATGAATTATATTACCTGCATTTCCTGTCTGTGTAATACAATGTATCAAATGTATGCATTTACAGACATGAGCATGACCTCGTTTTGCCAAAAATGTCTGGCTCTAATGGCCATTAAATGTCCTTGGTATCTTCATATAGACTAGGCTGACCATCTGCAAGAAACAAGACTGATCAGACCTTGTCTGATCACTATTGTTCCTTTATAGATAAGTCAGCAGCAGAGATGCTTCTACTCACTCCTTAGAGCAATGGTTGTCAACTTAGGAGGTGTAGGGGAGCCTGAAGTGTGGCCCCTATCATCACCAAAGGGCCGCATAAATTGTTCAGTATATGTACTGCTAGAGAGGACTGTCAGAGACTGCAAGCATACTAGATAAAATAATGGTCATAGACTACAGACATACTAAATAAAATGATGGTCATAGACTAAGGACATGCTGCAGGTTTGTTAGAACATGGGCGAAATGCTGCAGAAGATAATGGGAGATTGGGGACATGTTACAGGAGGTTAGCAGAGATTACTGCTCTTACCCCTTTAAAATCAATGCTCCCACTACAGACAGCTGGGGTTCAATGGCCACACAACAAGTACCAAAGGGCCTCATATGGCCCTTGGGCCACAGGCTGGGCACCAGGGACTTAGAGTAAAGGTGGCTTTGGACAATAGAAGATAGTCATATAGATTACAGCCATGTAGGGTGACAATCTAACAGCAGCTCCTAACTGTCCTTATATCCACTTTTGGGGGCAGAAATGATCAGATGGCTGCTCCTCTAAAGTAGAGAGTGGCCCAAACAACATCATGAGATGGTCAAATTGTGCCTGGGGAGCTTCTTTTGCTCTGTATGTTGTATAGTAGCCACCACTCCAAGCGTACTCTTGTGATGGTCTACAATCTCAATACAAATTAGCTAACCAAATGTGAGATTGTAGTCCATCATAGGAGTTAGTTTAGCGCTAAATGTATTTTTTTTATCACATGTTTAGTTGACCCAGGTTTGTAAAAGGTTTTGTATGCAGTTTTAACATTTTGTGCACTGTGGGAAAATGAGAGGAGAATTTACTTCTGCCAGAGTTTGGGTTTTTGAAGAAGCAGGTTTCCAGCTACATATAAAATAAATTGCAGGTTTAGAAAATGTAGTCTCACACGGATACATCTGTATAGTATGAAAGACCCAAGATATGTCAGAAACGAAAAGATAAAGGACAAGTTCTCAAACAATCGTAATTGTTTGAAAATATGATTCTCTTTGGCCCGGAAAGAACATTCATTGAAGATGCTTTAGTGTGAGTACTGTGCCAGGAGGTCGCTCACTGCAAAGCAATGCAGTTATAATTATCATCAATTATACAGCGGTCTGGTCTACACCCATCTCCCCTGCTTGATAGAATTAAACACATTGAGAAATAGACATCGCTCATCTGAATGGACATTTAATGTGAAAAATATGCTCAGCGTTGCAAGAACATTTCTGCCTTACTTCACAATAATTGATCCAATTTCTTCATAAGAAAAACACAGCACTTTAATGAAAACAGAGCTATGATTGACAGCAGGCTTCCAAGTAATTATAAGACCTCAGAAAACCTCTGCGTCTTGCAAGCCAAGAGATATCACATTTTGTATATTAATCTAGAGTAATGGTAAGCAAGCTGTGGCAGGCAATCATTTTAAGACCACATAGAAGCATGCACGGATGGACTATGCCAAGGCTTGTAGTGCTACAAATCTGAGCTGTCCAATTCTAGCTAGGGAAAAAGAATAAATAATATGAGTTTATTCAATGGTGTACTTGCATACTATTAATTTTAAATCCATATTAATGCTTACAGGCCTGTTTAAAGTTGTAATAAACCCTCAGTGCCAATTGATGTTGTGCTTCTAGCTCCATTTAACAAACTTTTACATAAATGTCTTTCCCCTCATTTCCCTAGAAAACATTCACATGTGCCATGGGAAAAATCTCCAGCCTGTGTTCTTCTCTGTTGTGCTTTACCCTAACTTCTGGTTTGGGAGCACACCTTGTGCATTTGGTATTCGCTGTTGCTTTGATACTACATATTCCATGATTCCTTGTCTACCCATCACATGCACATGTGTGCCCATAGCATGGCACCCCAGTGGGTACAATGATAAGGACCCTAGCCACACTCACGCCCTATGCACAGCACACGATCAGATGCAATGAGAAGGACCCCTGCCACATTTTGCAAGCACACCCTATGTACAGTACTCAGGCATACACAAAAAGTGAAAGACCCATCAAGGGAGTGTGGACATCAGGATGGATCCAGGGAAAGCATGCAAGGCAATGGAGCCACCCTTAAAGGCAGAAATCATTTACACTCCAAAATGCTGAAAAGAAAGTCTGAATACAGAAAAGGGACAGGAAACATGCATCAAATGAATGTGTGTTTCTACATATTTTTTCTCATTGGAGGGTTTATTAACACTTAAACCTGAAATTAAAAAGTGAACATTTGCTATGTTATGGGGAACAGATAGTTACATCTGTTTTTTCCCCTCCCTCACACATGTGCCCTTCACAGCCGCTCGGAAGCTGGCAGTGCTTCAGCGGGGAGCAAGCGGCGATGGAACAGGTAAGTAATTAGGTAGTTGGCTATTTTTTTTTTTTAAATCATGGGACTTATAGCTTGCTAGCAGAAGATATATGCCAAAAAGTAAGAGACTTTAATTATACTTTTAATCTTAAAAATGCATTCAAGTCCCTTAACTATTAACAATACTGGACCTTATATGTGTATCACTCAGCTGTAGATCCTCAAATCATCTCTGAATTGGTCTGGCACTGTTCTTCCTTCTGAAGGAAGTCTGTTCCCCATGCTCCCGTGATGGACTACAGTCTTGATACAAGTTAGTAAACTAAATGTGAGATTGTAGTCCATCATGGGAGTGAGCTTGGAGTGGTGGATACAGCGACCATGGGGAACAAAGGTTGCCACCCTCTAGAAGTAAGGACAGTGGCGGCACCAATTCAGAGATACAGCCGAGTAATACCCAAATAAGATATATTTTTGTTAATAGTTAAGTTAAGATATTTTAATGCATTTTTAAAATTTAATTCCTGAATTTAGTGTCACTTTAACAAACAAAACGGATAAAGCTATTAAATATAATAAAGCTAATAAATATAGTATTAATACTGTATTAATATATTGAACAAAAGACACTGCGCTATCCCAAGTTGAGACTTTGCAGCTTGTCTCTGTATGAGTTCTTCTTTTAAGCACAGGGCTATAGCTATGACATGTGGTCACCTGAGTATTAGCAGAGGGTTTCTTCAGAATAATAATGTATTTCTGCCTCATCTATATATTTAGTGTAGCAAGATCTAGTTTAACCCCATATTAGCCCCTAGTTTACCCTGATCACCCCCAATTAACTTTTTCTTCTCCTTTTACCTCCATTATTTTCCTGTTGAGTTCTTTGATTATTTCTGGTTTTCTAACTATTAATATTTAATACTAAAACAAATGATTATTCGCGCTATAGTGCTCTCCCCGGACTCCTCAATAACACCCAATTGACAGCTGCAGAGATAAAGAAAAGCTATATAAACTTCTCCCACAATATATTAAACAAAAGACACTGCGCTATCCCCAATCATTACTATAAACCTCTAATTGCTTATACTTTGTGACAATTAGCTTAACAGCCGGCCCGTAGAGATCCGTGCTGCGTGCACGGCCGTAGCGGGCCGCTCCCGGGAAGGACAGGTGCTGCGTGTGATGACATGCAGCAGTCTGTTATTCTCTATGGGAGTACACGGGAGTACGCGGCCGTACGCCTCCGTACGCTCACCCGTCTGTGCAGGTGCGGGTGTCCGTATCCGTACGCAGACAGGATGTATATAAGAGGAACCTGGGAGACCTATAAATCCCGAACAGGACTTTCCTAGGCTCCCTCTGGGACGCTCTGCTACAGCGGACTCATCATTTTCAGCTGTCGGTGATTCAGTGGAGAGGCAATTTCAGTGTATTATTTTGTATATATTAATTGTCACAAAGTATATGCACCTAGAGGTTTATAGTAATGATTGGGGATAGCGCAGTGTCTTTTGTTTAATATATTGTGGGATTTTTGGGAATTTTCTTTATCTCTGCAGCTGTCAATTGGGTGTTATTGAGGAGTCCGGGGAGAGCACTATAGCGCGGATAATCATTTGTTTTAGTATTAAATATTAATAGTTAGAAGACCAGAAATAATCAAAAAATTCAACAGGAAAATAATGGAGGTAAAAGGAGAAGAAAAAGTTAATTGGGGGTGATCAGGGTAAACTAGGGGCTAATATGGGGTTAAACTAGATCTTGCTACACTAAATATATAGATGAGGCAGAAATACATTATTATTCTGAAGAAACCCTCTGCTAATACTCATGTGACCACATGTCATAGCTATAGCCCTGTGCTTGAAAGAAGACCTCATACAGAGACAAGCTGCAAAGTCTCAACTCCCCCAAACTCATTCAGCAGTAATGATTCATGTCGCATTATTAAGTCATAGAGATCAAAGCTACTGTTTTTAGAATACATAAGTACTTCTAACATCCAACATTCTGACTTCCAAGTCTCTAAGTATATGGGAAATGGTAAAAATCTATTACTTTCCAGAGAATGTACTATCTTGTTAACCATTTTAAAATCTCCTTCTGGATTTAGGTTGATCTCAGAGGATATGATATTTATCTGCTTTTCTTTATTTCTAGTTTGTGCTCATCTTTGTCAACAGTGACTAATGTTCTAAAATAAGTAATAATGGTATCTTAGCCACCGTGCATACTATCTAAATCTTCATGATCTGAACCATCAAAAATGCAGCCTTATGCCAAAATGGCTGAAGGATTTCACAGGATACGCATTGCCAGATTTGTCACCACATCATGAACTTGTTTTTAATAGAACTTAGTGGAGGTTTTAAGCGCTTACAATTCCCAAGAGCCTCTAGTAGTTTCTTACCATTTTATATTACTGGCTCTAATATCCCACACGTGTTTAATATAATTTTATTAGACGATATGTTCACATCATTCCAAAGCTGTTGTTAATATACAAATAACTGGATTAAGTTTTTTTTTCATTTTGCAAACATGTCTTTTTAATTTATTATACCCAGTGAAAGACTTGCTTTTTTTTATTTGTACGTTCATATTTTTACTAAATGTCCCAAAAAAAAAAAAACGGAACATTAACTACGTTGGACTGTTTTTTTAACTTTCCTCACCAAAAACAAGTTAAAACAAAAAACAAAAACAGAACATGCACACATACACTATGGTGCATATTTATAAATCAGTGAATCTGACATTTACCAAACATTTAATGCAGGTGCATCTTGCAGGTCCACCAGTTTCAATTGATTCACCACCATTGATAGATTTTTTTTTAGACTGAAACTGAAATAAAAAAAATGTAGCCTGAAACAGCAACCAAAACTGAAAATGACTTTTTTTCCAACCTTTTTTTAAAAATGTTAAATTGTTTTAAAAATATTTTATTCTTATTTATTTTTAAATATTTATTTTTTACTGTATTGTTTGAGGCTCTGTGGAAATATCAGGGTCTACACAGAAATAGAAAAAGAGATTGAGGACACAATCTCTTTTTCTGCATGAACAGGAAGCCTCTATAATGAATGCTCCTGTCCATTCACAAACTGAGAAGATAATATCAGTTACTATGTCCACAATCATGAATGAACAGGAAGTGATGTAGGGCACTTCCTGTTCATTCATAACTGGGGACACAGTAAGCATACTATGTCCTCAGTTATTTACAACAACTTAACGATCAGTAGTTTGTACTCCACTCTCCATCCTGAATCGCCTGCCACAAAAGGCCGAGCAGGGCAGTGCGGGAGGAGAGCTCAGCCTCCTGTGACACCTGACAATTGTTTCCACCCTGCACCGCTCGCTCACCTCCTGACAGTTTCTCCCCTCCCCGCTGTGCAGCGGTCTGTGTCCCCTCCAATCCCCGCTTCCTCTGCCAACACAAGCGGGGGAAAGCAGTGGGGATCGGAGGGGACACAGACTGGTGCCCACCAAGGAGGAGTGAAGTTAGGGATACACCTTATTTTTGGCAGCATTTTTGCCCATTTTGGTACTATCGACATTTTGTC